TGTGTGTGTGTGTGTGTGTGTGTGTGTGTGTGTGTGTGTGTGTGTGTGTGTGTGCGTGAGCGCGCTATGGAAACAAAATTTAATTCTCTACACTGGATCATCATCCAACAGAACAGAGAGTTTGAAAAAAGAGGAGTGGAAAGCAACTTTAAGCGTGTTGCCATGGCGACAGTCTCACTTTGTGTGTAGGTATCCAGAAAGACCTTTAGTCTTTACATATGAATACCAGATTTAATGTCCCTTTCAGAACAYGACACGCTGTACTTTCAACCAAAGTGAGAAGCTCTTCATGAACGTATGAAAGCCTGCTCCTTGTTATTACACGTGCTTGTATTTAGAAATTAAACGGAATCTATTAAAGTCAACAAACTATAAATTATTTCTTTTTAAATCGAGTTTTAAAGGTGTTTATGAGGCCTTTAATCAGTCAGAGGTTACTTTCTGTCCCTAACGTCAGCGTGAGCTGGATGAAGTGGTTTATAAATGATTTTCGGAGAGCTAGAATAAAAACCTCTTGAAGTGCAAAGAAGCCGTTGAGTTGAGTCGTTTATTTGTTCACAGCCAGCCTCTCTCCTCTCATTTCTCTCTAATTCTTCTGTGCCGTTTCACCATCAAACCTCTTTCAGCCAGCCTTCCCTCGCTCTTCCTCCCTCTTCATCTTCCCTGTCGGCTCTCCCCCTCACTCCATCCTTCCTCTGACCCGCTCCCTTTCACAGCGCCTGTGGTGTTGACCGTGTGTGAATGGGACTGAGTGATGGCTGTGGGAGGATGTGTGCGGGGTAGTCGCACATCTGCATGGCACATATGAACACAAATTCACACACACACACACACCAGGGACACTGGTGGATGTGTGTTTGTGTGTGTGTGTGTGTGTGTGTGTGCGTGTGCTGAGGAGGTTGGGGGATGAGTCACTCTCTGCACGACACATGGCGTGTTTGTAGGAGGCTGCATCATATTTAATGCAACACAAATAAGTGCACACACACATATTTAACAAATCGATACAGGTTTTTACTTGTGATGAATAACGATCATGGATCATTTTAATGAGCTTGGTTTGTATTCTTGATGCTGGATCGCTGTGTGTGTGTGTGCGTGCTTATTGCGGTAAATTGGTGCGTATGTCTGCATTCGAGGTCTGATAAGGCTTTTCATTAGTGTTTCCCAGACACAGCCTGATTGCTGCCACTCTGTCTTGTGTCGTGTCCTTCCTCTGTCTCTGCTGCTAGGTTTGTTTTCTATCTCCTGTATCTATTTGTACCCAGACTAGTGGTATCTAGTATCTCATTGTACCCACTCAGTTTCCTAAAATTGTGGTTTGATGAAGTTCAATAACAGGCTGCTTGAATGACAACCACCACTTGTGTTTACATAAATGTTTGGATTTGTCTCAGAAAAAAAATGTGCAATGGGTTGTTTAGCCAAATTAATACGAGGTAGTTGTGTCTAATAAACTAATAACGCTGCTGCTGGGATAGTTKTACATGTAGACCACGACTGAAAACTGACAGTTTCTAAAATTAATTTATTATGATTTAAAATTCCTCGCCCTCTAAGGATGGAGCCTCAGCAGGTGTAGCTGCAGAGCTGTCGTCCAAAAATCACAAAGTCTTCTGTGCTCAGTCTGTGTTGTATTTGTTTTTTTATCATTATTATTATTGAGTTTCTTGGTTATTTAGTTGTGCTTTGGGTTTTTGTTTATTCTATCATTGCTATGAAACTTTATTTTGAAGAAAAAGAAAATTTGATCTGTTAGCACTTGGAGTATGAGCTGAAGGTGGCTTGCAGCTGCTGCCGTATCAAATTTCTGTTTAATATCTGTGAAAYGGACTGAGTCATAACCACAAGCCTTCTGAAGGTTTTATAAAAATCCTAGTGATAATAATTGATGAGGTATTTTGTCAACACATAATTGATATCAGCTTTTTATACAGCACTTGTWTTGCTGTAGTAATCATCACACCCATTGCCTCTCCCAGTAGATATTTGCCCTGGTTTTCTTCAATTCTTAGTCAGAGCTTCTCTAAGCTAACTAGYTGTTTGTTGTACTCACAGCAAGTTATTGAAAGTTGCGCCACCTGCAGTACACGCCTGCATTTAGGTCTTGCTTCTGCTCGTTTTGTACCACTGCGGTTTCTGAATTTCAAATCTTGCCTTACACAAATGAATTAWACTCCATGTGCCTGTTATTGTGAAAGTGAAGTAAGACAGAGTATTAGGACCAGAGTAAGAATTTTTTTAAATCACGAGAATAAATTTATCATATTATGAGAAAAAAGTAAAGAAAATAAAACATTATTCTGGTAATATTATGACTTTATTCTCATATTATTTTAACTTTATTCTCTTATGATTTTATCATTTGTGATATTCTCACACAACTTTTCTCTTAATGTTGTTATTGTATTTTCATAATTTATATGTATATAAAAAATCTTAATCTGGCCCTAATACTCAATCGTACTAAAGGTCCTTTCAAAGCAAAATTACTTCTATCATCTAAAGCAGAGGTGTCCAAAGTGGGGCCCGCGGGCCAAAATTGGCCCACCAGCAGTTGCCCTGGTTATTAGATTGTAATTACGTTAAGATTCAATATAAAATACAAGTAACTTCAAGAGATATTTATGAGATTTAAGTCCATATATAGATTTGCACACCTTATAAGACCACATATGCTCAAATTTTAAATTATGAAAAGTCCCATGAGCCTTTGCTGCCTGAGCATTTGTTGAATTTTCTTCATGTCCATGGGCTGAAAAAACCTAAAGAATGTGGACAACCACACTGGCTGCTAGCTTAATCATAAAAAATAACATTAAATATTAAGCATTTCTTTTATTATTGCATTTGGCCCGTGGCCCTCAGGTTGATTTTAATTTTGGCCCTTTCAGGGAAAATGTTTGGGCACCCCTGATCTAAAGTTTTAATTTGAGACAGGCAAATATCATCATCGTCACACCATTATTGATTTTTTTTTTTTTTGAAACACAGTCACCAAAGTTAGAGGACCTTCTTGCCTCCGTTTTCATATTCCTGTTTTTAGAAGATGAGGTTTGAATATGTATTTTTTTCGAGGTAATCATGCTGTAATGTGATTATTTTATCAGGGAACACAAATTGATCTCTTTTTTCTCTATTCRTTTAAACTGTTACAGCCAGCATGCCCACAAAAATGCAATCAAAATGAAGTTAAATAACACTGTGATGATAATAATAAAAAACACATAGGGGGTCAATTTGAAACTAAATGTAAATTGATCAAATGTATACAGTTAAAGAAAAACAGGAAATTTTGGTTTTTCAACTTAAAACCTCAGTGGAGGTGGAGACGAGCATGTAAGTACCTAGCCAGCAAAGTTAATGATAATATCCTTTTGCTTGCATTGCATTTTTCTGGGACTAATATTTTTATCTTTTGAAAAGAAAAAAACACCTAATGGGTATTCCAAAGTTAGCAAATGACACAGATAAGTAGTAACAGGCTGGTGAAGAAAACCTGTGTTCAGAGAAAGTGTTTGTATGCTATCGAAAAAACAAAATAGTATCTGTGAGAAGGATGAGTCCAGATTTGAAGTGATTTATGTTTTCTCTCTCTCCCTCCCTCTCTCTCCACAGGAACATTCAGAGGTGTGTGTAAGAAAATAGATCATTTTCCAGAAGATGCCGACTACGAAGCGGATGCTGCTGAATACCTCCTCCGTAAGACACACAACTCTACTCACAACCTTTTTTTTATTCATWWACCTCCTCTTTGTCAGCATCTCTAACATCCTTCTAGCAACATCCCCTCTGTCCCTCCTCTAGACACGTCAAAATCATCTCAGTCTGGCCTCTTTAACTTTATCTCCCAGTCGTTCAACCTGTGCTGTACCTCTGATATCATTAGGTTAAAAAAAACAAGCATTTACCATCATGCCTGCATGAGAAACACCCATCCTCATCCTCTGTCTGCTCTTCACTCCCATTGTCAACAGATACTTTCATCATTAAAACACAAATTAAAGTCCGTATTTTCTAAAGAGACAAGGTTTTCTCCATAACAAAAGTATCTGTGACTATGTTTATGTACAATATACACCTTTTAAAGCAGTTCTTCTTTTTTCAAAAACTCATCCGTGTGCATTTCAAAAGCTAGACAGGAATAAAAAGATGCTAACACAAAGATGCAGGCAGGGTTTTTTTATTCTAAACTCAGAGCAAAGATGGATTCAGAGAGAAAGCAGCATGAAAAAGAAAAAAGAAAATGGAGACGAACTGGTCTGGTTTTTTTGTTTGTTTGTTTTTTGCACCATACAACATAGAGCCTACAAGAGCATCCCCCAAGGCAGTCAGACTGCAGGAATCAGAGCTGATTAGCCAATGAGACACCAGGACCTAGTGACCAGGATTTCATACAGCCCAGGGTTGTGGGCCACAGGGGCGGGGCTTGTATTCTCTGTGTTTCGAGTCACCAGTTACTGCAAAACATTATATAAAAAAAAGTGCAAACATGATGATGTATTTCAAAACATGGGATTTTCTTCAATATTGCAACTGTGATGCAAGCATGCAGCACATTTTCTGCATGTCTAAAAATGCCCCCTTCCTTATGTCTGTGTAACATCTTTCATTGTGCCATTGCATTATGTGCACATATGGGGACTCTGACAAATATTTCACCTCTGCTGCAGCCCCGCTGTAATACTCATCATCTCAGTTGTTCATTATTTTGTCATGCATATGTCAGTACGACTGTCCATCTGTCTTGGTATTTGGCCATTTTTCTTCCCTCATCCATCTCTTCTCTCTCTCTTTTTCACTTTCTGTTGAAGAGGCATCTGAATGCTGCAATATGTTCTGGATTCAAGCTCAGTCAGGCGTGTATCAACACACTACAACGTGTTTGTCTGGAGTGCATGTGCTAATAGTGCAGTTTTGGCTCTGTTCTCAAAGCTCGGTAAAATCAGTTTCTTACATGAGCAGCGGTTTTCTCATTTTCCACAAAACACCTGGGGAGGCACTGAGTGCGACCAGGTGAGAGTAGACGGGGCAGGAGCAGCGTTAGGAGCATTCGCAATTGCCTTTGTCTCAGGATGATGACATCATAACAAAAGCCATCCACCAACAGCAAAGTTGGAGTTCTATTCTGAAATTCTTCAATGTAAACTTCAACATTTAGCCACAACATTTAAGATTTTAACATTTACATTTGAATTTAGGATTAAATGTTTACATTTATTATTTAACATTTAAATTTAACATTCAGCAAAGTGCAAAATGTAAGAACAGTGAGCTAAATAACAATAATATTTTTGTGGAAAAACATTAACTAAGGTTTAACATGCAGAAAGTGAACTAAAAAATGAAAATGTGTTGGTGACTTTTTTKTAACGTTTTATTTTACACTTGATGCCCCACAGGGAAAACACAGATAGAGAAWAGAGGAATAGAGAAACACTGGAAACCACTGGGGTGAAATTAAGCAGAAATTTTCACAATATCACACAAAACGACTATGAATATTAACAAAAATGCAAATATTGAGAGCATTGAAAAAACAAARAGCAAATAAATATCAGGACTCTCAATTTCGGGTCAGATTTTAATGTCCATACGATATGCTACCATAGCTTGCAATATAATACATTATTCCATTCGATGGACTTTTTTGTCACTTTGGTTTTTATTTATTTATTTATTTTTCAACTCAAGTACCACTCATGTACTACATACTACTATTATGTGACTTAACTCCTCCTCTTCTCCTCCGTGTGTTCAGGTGCTGTGCGTGCCTCCAGTATCTTCCCCATCATGAGTGTGGGTCTGTTGTTCATGGGGGGGCTCTGCGTGGCAGCCAGTGAGTTTTACAGGAGCAGACACAATGTCATCCTGAGTGCAGGGATCTTCTTCGTATCTGCAGGTTAGTCATTGCTGTGCGCACYGCTGTTTGTGTAAATCAGTGTCTCCTCTGTAAAGTGGAGGTGAAGCAACTACCTGCACCTCGTAGAGAAATACAGCAGGATAGCACTTTTGTCTATAAATAAATAAAACACTCGTTCCGGCAACTGTGAAGGAGGCACAAGATTTTCTTGGATACAAATTACCCTTTGTGCTCTTTTCATACTTGATATGGACGTAATTATTTCATGATACAATATGTCCAAGTTTTGTCAGAAGTACATTTACAGAATTTCCAAATCTTGCATATTTTATTTATTGATTTAACAATAAAGATGGCCACTGCATTTACGATTATCCAAAAGGGGCTTATATTTGTGCATTGTAAGAATGTGTAGCTATGTCCTTGTGGCTTTACTTCAAATTGAAGTAAAGTGCCATTCAAGCATTTACTGACAAGCCCAATGTGTATGTAAATCACACAAAAGATTYTGCATGAGGAAAATGAGAATATGATGATTCTTCTGTGATAAAAACTGAGCCCTGATGCACACAAAAGCATGTAATTGCTGCTTATTATCGCTTATTATCTGGTTTTCTATAAAATGCCTGGCAGTTGCATGCTCCAACTATTTAGCTGACAGGCCAAATTGTTTTGACACTCAAAACCACCAAAGCATTACAGCTGTCTTTCCAAACGCTGTTTCGTTAATAAACACTGTAGAAGTTAAAGACAAAGAGTTGCACTCACCCAAAAAATGGGGCAGAGTATTGCACTAGAGCCAAACATATTGCTCTGGTTTGTATTTTTGTCTCTCTGAAGGGAATATCTCACTGGGCTGCAACTGTTGGGGACAAGCTGGAGACAACTGTGAGAAAATGTACACATTTTCACTTAAAATTGCACATGCTAAATTTGGGCCAAAATTGCAAGGGTTTGAGTGAATGTTGAGCAACAGTTTTTAAAAATACAACACTAAAACTTAGTTAGAAAGGGTTTTAAATGTTTGAAATGACATATGTGAGCCAGATCTGGTGTCAAGCTGGCACTGCTAGCATGGCAAGTGGTTTGTCAACAGGATGTGGGTCAGTTCTGGCAACGATGGCACTGTTTTTAAGATGGCATGCCACAACTGGCCCAGTTGTAGTTTGGTTTATGTGGCCCAAATCTCTCAATGCCACAACTGGCCCAGTTGTAGTTTGGTTTATGGGGTACTGGCTTGTACATGGACCACCTCTGGAAAACCATATCTGGGCCTCCAAAGGGCCATCATTCTTTGCAGTATCTGGGTCAAGTGTTAGAGTATTAGTGCCTTGTCTGCGCCAGAACTGGGTCACACAAATTTTACTATGTGTGGTGTTTTGGATGCTCACAACGACTCTGAGACTGTATCAATTTTTGACTTTTTTTTAATTCTTACTTCAACCAATTGGCTAAATTGACTTTTTTTTTTATTTAAATTGTGTTATAATATCATTCCAACCCATTCTCACTCCCAACTCGTCAACATATTGACGCTTGGTCAGGTAGCCGTCTGCGTTCAGCTTCGGACGCGCCAGGTGCCCCCCGCGCGTCAGTTCTCTACGAGATGAGGCGGAGGAGGACGAGCGCGTTGTCATACTTTTTTAAAGAGTAGAAAATGTGCAAAACTAACCATCCCAGACCAAAAATTTTACTTCTATTGGCCCTATACAGCCTATTCCTGACCTCAGTACCTAAAATTAACCATTAATCCTGATCCCTCAAATTAACCTCAGACCTCCAACCCAAAGACCCCTAAGTGGYGCAACCCGGAAAAGCCGTGGGTGGCAAGGACTGATGCGCGGTGGGTACCCGACGCGTCAAAACTGGACGYAGGTGGTCCCTGACCAAGCGTCAATTTGTTGACGAGTCGGGAGTGAGAAGGTGTTAGTCATTCCCTCATCAAAAACATATCCAGAGTGTTGCTTTGACTCATCCAGGCGTGTTTGAAAAATCCTTGAATCTCCTGCGGTAGCCATGTGGAGTTGCCRAAATGCATGCTGGTACAAAGAACCGCCTATTTGTAGACTGCACCTCCCTGGCTTTGATGCAATGTCAAATTTATTTTTRAAATATACAGCTTTTTCATAACAACTGAAGGTAASAGTTAATTGATTGTGGTAGAATTGAGCRATGTGCCTGGAAAATACATAATACCCCCCTTTTAAGAACCCCCTCAACACGTATTGACACATTGGAGACATACCATTCACAATTTGTTGCCAACAGTCACAGTCCAATGAGGTGCTACCTTAAGCTTCTTTTGTGCTCGTACAAATTGGCACAATAGGACCTAACAGGCTAGATACATTTTTCATGTAGTTTGTTAGCATGTTTATGTTAGCATTAACTCAAACATACAATAATGTAGCCTCAGTGTTTTACAGTTGTTGACTCCAAGTCTTGTATTCTTGTCTGGTTAAGTTTCTCTTTAATTTGGTTTCTGCGTGTCTCCTCCAGGTCTCAGTAACATCATTGGAATAATTGTCTACATCTCAGCCAATTCTGGTGACCCGGGTCAAAGTGACAGTAAGAAGTCGTACTCGTATGGCTGGTCATTCTACTTTGGCGCACTCTCCTTCATCATGGCTGAAATGGTGGGTGTGCTGGCCGTGCACATGTTCATCGAAAAGCATCGCAAGCTACGAGCCAAGTCCCGCACCGAGCTCATAAAGAAGTCCGCCTTCAGCCGCATCCCCTCCTATCGCTACCGATTTCGGCGTCGCTCCAGCGTGCGCTCCTCCGAAGCCCCGAGCCGCGACGCTTCACCGCTGGGGAAAGGCGGCTACACGGGGCCYGCCGCTTCTGAGATGCCCATGTACACGCTGAACCCACGGGAAGCCGGCAACGCTGGTACCAAACCAGTTGGTGGCATGGCCGGGCTACTCAACTCAGAGATGGATTTCCTCCAGAGCAGCACGCTCACTAAAGACTACAACAAGGACCCCAACCGCAGGACCACACCCGTCTGAGAGAAGCTGGCTGTAGATATCGTCCCAATCAGAGAATCAAAGAGGTGGAGACGTACAGTGGGGAACTGAGAATGACAGCAAGCTTATAGAGAATATGAGGGGTTACTGGAAGTTCGATAACCTATGACTGTGAACATTTAGCCTTTGAACTGTGAATCCTTTGCCCTTTGAGAGTTTCTTAGTGTGTAGCAGGGTTGGTTTTGCTGGAGAAGTTGCCCCCAACTCCACTTTACCACATATCACTATATATAGCTGTATCTGTAGCTCCTTATTCATTTCAGCACATACGGGATTTTTGTGCTCATAACTCAACTTCCTGGTGTTTTCATTAAGTCGGGGTGGGGGGGGGACTTTGTGGGTTCATTCAGGCGAGTGGGTACTTGTTTGGGGCAACTTCTCCTAGCAAAGAAAAAAACTAAACTAATGTGAATTTGAGGAGAATACAGAAGCGATAACAAACACGTTGTGGAATCTCTTCATCACTTTTTGGATCCCAGTAGAGCTGGATCCAATGAAAGTACGACTTAGAGCTTTAAGTTGACCATCTTAAAGCTCTAAGCCAAAGCAGAGGGCTTAATTTGTTTAAGTTCGGCTGTGTTTCGGAAGATAAACAGATGATTTGTCCATTTTATGGCAGTACGTTTGTGCCGTTAGTGGTCATTTTCTACACCGCTTTCATATTTGTTTGACTTCATTGTGGAAAAACTCCCTAATTTTCTGGACTGAAACTGAATTAATCTCATTCATAGTGATGTTCAACCCCGACTCTCTGACCCTATCATATTAGTGGCTGGAGTGGAAAAGGTTTGACTCAAAAACAAAAACAAAAAAAAAATTATGAAACTTTTAGACAGTAACATTCGATCCATTGGTGCTTCCTCATGGTTGAGTTCTCTGCCACATTTTGATGTATTTATTATTTCTACCTAAAACATGGAGATGATTGGATATATGTCTGTTTTGCCTTCACAAATCACCTTTCGCCTTCCATGTTTTCCTGTGTGTAGTGTCCATGCTTCACCTCAGCGGCACCCTCTGCACACCTTCGCACATCCTCTCATCCCCCAGCTATTCCTCTACTTTAAAGGACGACAGAGTTAAGTCCTGTCTTCCGTCGGTGTTGCTTGTGGGACAGTTTGAGGTTGTTTTTTTTTCCCCGGAGGTGGCTGTTTCAGGGTACAGTTGGAGAAAAGACCGCCGAGCTGTGAATATATATTTTAAGGCAGTGCCAAAAAAATTCATGTAACTAACCAGAGATGGACTCTTGTGTCTGCCCGCTACCTCTTGGTGAACATCTTTTAGATGATTTTGACATAAAGTTGTCTTTACTTGACTGAGCAGCTGTCAGAATTTCAGCTGCATGAATAAACACGGATAAAAGGCTCATTTCAGTCTAARAACACAACGCTTCAGCTGAGTATCCGTCTGCACATAGTGCACAGTTAAAAGGCAGGTAGTTGGAGAAAACTGGAGGAAAGTCAAAACATTTCTGCCGCATCCATTCCAACTGCCACTCGTAGCCTCTTTGTGTGCACTTTAGCGTATTCAGCTCGCACGCTTATGCAACATAAGCCACATTAAATGGTCATATCGCTACAGTTCTTACTGTGAATCTTTAAATTGCAGCCCTGTTTCGATACAAAAAAAGGGGTTTATGTAAATTGTAAATGCAAATGTGTTGTCTTAACATTACCAATCAAGGGTTTGATAAACGTGTCCGCTTTTTTGGTGGGGGGGGGRAACAAGGCTGTGGATCTGACGCCGATGATTCCTGAAATGCACTGCAAGAAACCTGAGTCAGTGGCATTTTTAAGCAGCATTATTCTATTRCGAAATTGTAAAATTTGCAGCGAAATTCAATCAGAATAAAATACAGGTCTTTGCTTTCAGAAGTAGTGGGACAAGTTGTGTTTGCAAGCATTTAATTAAGCCAGCTAATGCATAGAAATGTATGACTTAATCAGATTTTTATTTGTTTATGATTCTGTCGTGGTGGTTACTTTTAGTAGCAGAAATGGCAAAAACAAAAAAAACAATTCTTCGAGCACGTGGCAAAGCAAGCAAATTAAAAGTCCGACTTTGCTAAATTAAAGCTACAGAGAGAGTTGTCGAAAACAAAATGTGAAGAAGCCATAAAACACAAAGCAGCTAAAAAGAAAGAAAGAAAACACCAAATGAGTTGTGGACACAACATGAGTACAATGTTTTCCTGCACATTTTCCCCCCAACTTCTTTCAGCAACTGTGAATATTAACAAGAACTTAGAGGGAAAGTTGTGCACATTAGCCATTATTGCACCGTTTTACATAAAGGATACAGAAAGCAGCCTCTGCACTCAATGTTGACCGTTAGGCTCCAACATCGATAGATGCTTCGGTTACCTTCAGTCACACTACTTTTATTTATAAAGCTTCACTTCTATCACTTGTATTGCGTATGCCATAAAGGGAACATAAAGGCATAAACATGATTCGTGCTCTCTTCCGCCTCCGAATGCTGATTTTGCAAACTAACTACAAAATCAGCCACCATCATGGACTGTGAGAGAGAGTGGGGGGGGGGTGCTTTTCTCAGAACAAGGGCTTTTAATTTTTAAAGGACAGCAGCACGCAAGGGCTTTTTACACTCAGCACTGCAGCAACATTGTTGTCAGGATGTAATATTGGAGAGAGGACAGAAAAGGCAAAGTGCATTTGCACAGAAACATCTACTTTTCAATCAGCTGAGTAGCTTACCAAGAATTTAATACGATAAAAACATTGAGGCAAAGAAACCTTTGTGTTTCTACTCGGCTAATATTTTGGATTAACCATAGATTAGAGGAGTAATGTGAAAAATAAGTCTTAAAACACCAGTTCACGCCTTTTGAAGTGGAGTTTTGTGCAAAGTTATGAACAATCCGTATTTCACCTGTTGTAGATAGTCCACTTAATGACCTCAGAAAAAAGAAAAAGAGTTTAATTCTGACCAGACTGACGAGCAAACGTAACTAAACTTTTACAATGCAGTCAGGTTTTCGTTGCTTAGTTAGTTACAAGAAATTTTATGGTTATTTGCGAGTGCAAATAGCAATAGTAGCAGCTAATTGTAGCAATTATGGTGTAGCCTGGGCAGGAATACACTATTTTCTCCCCCTTGTAATGGTAAACCAATGATGAAGGTTTACATGAACATTGCATTTCCGTGAACCACTGTAAAAGTTTTGAGTTTAGAGCTGATTTAAGACGTTAGCATTCCACTTGTCTTGGTCCAACTCAGACTAGTCTTTAGCTTCTCAGTCTGATAAGAATTAAACTATTATTTCCTTAAATTCAAACTGTTCAAGATACATATATAATATACATTATCCCTTTCCATGGAACCCCACTTCAAAAGATAAAGGAAGGTTAGTTTAAAAAATGTAGTTGCTAAAGATTCATACATTTATCAATTAACTGTTCTTACTGAATGCCAAATAATATTCAAAGTGTTTTCCTGTGAATCATGGCGTCCAAGTTAGCTTAGCGATTTGCTGCTGCGTGTGCTCTTTTCTTTGTGTGGATTTACCGACTCAGCAGGTTTTAGATGTAGCTACCCATGACAAGGGGGCCCCTCAGATCCTTCAGAGGTCTGATCGGCGCTCAGTTTAGTACTGCCATCCATGAGCCATTCAAACCATGCATGTCCATTTGCTTCCAGTGCTTACATTCACTGTATCTCTAATCAGGCCTCAAACAGCACCCCTAACCTCTGCAGCCCCGTAGGGTCCGGCTCATTAAAGACACCTTACAGAAGAGGGTGGGCTTCTAACCCTGAGCCGTATTGATGTTTACCCCCATTAGAGTACAGGGTGCTTTTTGAGACTGTGACTCTTCCTACCGCCATACAAGCTTTGATACTCTGATATCAACAAATAATTGTACTATTAGTAAAGACGTATCTTAAAGGTGCCAGTGTGCAGAGGAAGACAATCTCTGCCACATAATATACTTATTAATATATTTATTCATTTGGGGAGGGGCGGGTGGGGGGGTGATGACAGGGAGCAGAGTTGGGGAGAAGTTGTAGTCTTTCTAATATATTATTCTAGTCTCCTTTTCTAATTTGATGTGGCTGTGAGGTCGTGTTGTTTTGATCGTATGAGAAGCTTTGGACAAGAGGAACACACGAACAGCCGGTGGAAAACTTGGACCATCTTTCGTGGACTTAAACCTCACCTCAGTGGTGCCAGAGACTATGTTTGCCAGCAGGACGTGCAGCACTGCAACACACACACACACCACACACACACACACACTACTACATTCATTCCAACTTATTATATTTACCTGTTCCTATATTTCTGAGGACATTAAATCCACTGAAATCAAATCAAGCTGTAGACTGATCAAAATGCAGTAATGGGATAAATAAGGTTCACCCCTTTTGAACTCCTGAGTTTTATGTAACAAGACATAATAAAATGATCTGGTAGTCACCAAGTTTAACATTATTCATAACCTTAAGTGTACAAAAAACGCACAACACATCAGCTCCAGTCAGGTTGAGGTCTGAACTTTTACTGCATCCCAGCAACGTTTTCGTTGTTTCCTTTGTATGCCACTCTGTTGTAGATTCACTGCTGTGTTTGAGCTCATTGTTCTGTTGCTTCAAGTCCCAGTTTGGTCCAATTTCAGCTGCTGGTCTTACATTTGACTCTAGAATATGTTGGTAAAGAGGATTATGGTTGACTCAGTGACCGTAAGGCTCCCAAAACAAACCCTAATCATCAACCCTCCACTGCTGTGCTTGGCTGCTGGTATGAGGCGCTATGGTTTATATGCTGTGTTTGGATTTTGCCAAAAAGCGCACTTTGCATTATGCGTGAATTTTGATCTAATCTCTTCATAGGATGTTGTTGCAGAGGTCTAGTTCATTCAGGCTTAACTTTGCTGCCATGAGAGAGAGAAGAAGGTTTACTGTTTGGGAGGGTTTCCTTAATCCTTTCCTAATTGTCCTGTCATGACCCTTAACCTTTAACCTGCTACCTGAGGCCTGTGGAGAGTGGAGATGGAGCCCTTGGGGTGAAGTTGCTGGGACTTCTACTCCTGGCGAAATTGACAGCTTTCCTAAATGTTTTCCACTTTGAGTAAAATGACCCACATAGCAAACAGGTGTGGCCAAATCTGGTGTCAAGCTGGCACTGCTGACATGACAAGTGGTTTGTCAACTGGTTGTGGGCCAGGTCTGGCAAAGATGGCACGGTTTTTAAGATGGCATGCCACAACTGGCCCAGTTGTGGTTTGGTTTTATGTGGTGCTGGCCCATTCATGGACCACCTCAGGCAAGCCACTTTTGGGCCACCAAAAGGACGCCATTCTTTGCGGTATCTGGGTCAGGTCTCAGAGTGTTTAGTGCATCGTGTGGGCCAGAACTGGACCAGACAAATTTTGATATATGAAGATGGATTCTATCATGTTTGTAAATGTTATTTAACCCTTCCCAGATTATTGGACAACAAATGGCATTACTGATGCTGTTCTGCTTTGACATGTTTTATAGAGGCCTCACACTGAAACTGATCACTTTGATCAGCAGCTTCTTTACTTTCTGGATCTTGTGAAAGCAGCAAGAGTGGACTTTTTTCCACATTGGCTTTTTTTATTTTTTGGCCTAATAAAGGATGTGGTGGAATATATTGTGTGTTTTTATGCACTTGAGGTTAGAATTAAATAATTTTAGAACCTGGTAAAGACCAGTTTTTTATACATACATAAAACCCTAGAATGGAAAGAGGGTATACTTTTTTCGATTACTTCTTTTAAGTCTTTTTTTATAAGTCCTTTATTTTTTGCTCAAAGATCTATGGCCATTTTAATTAGAGCTTATGGAGTTATTAAATGATAACTGAAAATGTATCCTCAGTTATATAGAAACAAGTGCGCACATGAATAAACACACCAACACTAACTCAGAAACATGAGACAACACTCACTCACAGCTTTACTTACACCC